TCTGCAGTTCAAGAGTAAAGTTTCTTTATAATTATATATCACTAGTAGTTTCAGAAAGGCCTCCTTGCTCTACCATTTCCTATTTCTCCTCCAGCATCTACCTACTCCAAGAAGTAACTTCTATCATGAATTATTTTTAGTTGTTACCATACTTATATTTATAGTTTTATCCTATCAGTATGTTTCACTAAACAATATATTGCTTTGTGTTGTGTGTCATATTCTACATATTTTTCTAGAACGTGCCCTTTTCATTCAACAAGATGTTTATAAAATTAATCCACTGTGGTATATGTAGCTATGATTCACTTTGCAAATTTTATTTCCTGTTTTCATCCAACTTTGCTTGACTCCATTCTTTTTCTAGCCTCTTATTCAGATATTTCTGCAAAGTTTTCTTTTTCTGTTCGTTGTGGCAATTGTGACTGTTTTAATTCAGTAGTAACCATGGAAACATCATAAGTTTTTACATAAGAGAGGTCAAGTAAATGAACCTAAACAAATATGATTAGTCAGTTTACCATTTAAATCTCTTTTCTGATAGAGAAAAAATCACTATCATCACTTCAAATGTTAAAAGGTCACTAATACTTGATGTTATAATGGTAGTTATAATATTACATAAAGCTAAGATATTACCTAACACTTCCTTTTCTATAAACATCTGTTTTTTAAAATATCTGAATATTGTTAATGCACTGAAGATTAGAGCTATAGCAGTTTATCTTTTTTATTATAGAGAATGAACTCTTATCTACTCTAACTATTCTTGAATATGTTTATGTTGTTGTATTAACTCCCTTAAGCAATGCTAATAAGACTTAGCCATTAAATATTTAAGCAAAATATTCTCTTATGAAATCACACTCAAATTCTAGTCTTCCCAGGTCAAAAGCTTTAGTAAGTTATTGTCCAATTATTGAAACTCTAACTCTAGTTACATAACCAAAGATAGTTGGTTATATCTGTGTTTTCATTCATCTTTCACTTAATTTAAAAATTCTAAAAGTCTCAAGTCAGTGGAGAAGGTTTTTGGCAAAACAATGGCAAACATGACTGAATTTGGGAAAGAAAACCTAGAATAAAATTTATATTACCCATTTATTACTGGATGAATACACTGGAATTTTGCCACTTTAGTTGAATTTGGAAAATGTTGAATTTCTATCATGTTAACAAATGCCTTACAGATAGTTAACACATTCTACAACAGTAGGCATCTGTAATTTGAGAAGTTATAAAGGGCCTTTTACGTTTGGTTGAATTAAGGAATGAGAAAATTGACCTGTTTAAATAAACATTCTCTATTATAAATCAACACAAATGATTAAGCATTCTCTATTATAAAGTAGATAAATTTTCCTTTGATTTGGTTTGTACTTCCTATTCATTATCTTGATTAAGGAGATCATTGATAACTCTCCTATGCTATATTTACAGTTTAACACCACATCATAGAAGAGAAAAACAAACCAGCTCTAACATTAATAAGAAACTTGCTCATAATACACAAAGAAAAATTTCTTAAAGGTAGAATTGTAGGTTTTGAGTTATTACTGAGGGGGAAAATGCTTAAGAAAGAAGCATTTTCTTGACAGTCCTCCAATTAAATATTGTCAGCTTATAGATCCTTTTGGCTAATGTGAGATGTTGGCCTTGTGGTTATTAGTAGGGTTACTGTAAATAGCATATAGCATATATCTTAGAATTTCTGAACCATAAGGTTTTTTTCCTTATTAGTTATAGGTGAAATTTCCATTCTGTGTCTTTTATATTCTATGATATTTTAAAAATTCCTATGTATACTGTTAAGATGTGTTCTTAGCATACAGGACAAACATAAAAGACAACTGTAGTTGGACAGGCTCATTAGCTAGGAAATACCCTAGGTGGTCATGGATCAGGTTAAGAATTCACATCCACATGAACCAAAAAAGCCTGGGAGTTGGATTGTATCTGAATGGAGGCATTCTATTTAAATCCTAGAGATCAGCGATACCCAGCAGTTAAGGACTAGCAATCAGGAAGGTCTTAGAAGCTGCAGTGTGGTGAAGTTCAAGCATGCTTTCTGTCAGCCAGTCGTCACAGTAGGCTGTGTGAGAAGGCCTATAGCAGTGGGTGGTTTGTATCACAGCACTTGGTTCAGGGATCTAGCTGTGGGAGGGGGTGTTCTGAGTTGTAGAAAAAGGGGTCCCTGAAGGATCAGAAGAAGCAAGCAAGAACCCCAATTCTAGAGAAATGGACTAGCAGGAAAAGATCTAAGCATAGTAATAAATCCTGAACTTTGAATAAAAGCCTATTTTTGCTATAAAGACATACCTGAGCCTGGGAAATTCATGAAGAAAAATAAGTTTAATTGGCATATGGTTCTGCAGGCTCTAAAGGAAGCACAGCAGCATCTGCTAATGTGGAGGCCTCAGGAAGCTTCCAATCAAGGCAGAAGGTGAAGGTGAAGGGGGAGCAGTCAGATCATATGATAAATCAGGAGCAAGAGAAAGAGGGGAGAGGTGCTACGCACTTTTAAAGGGCCAGGTCTTACAAGAACTCACTCATTTTCATGAGGACAGTACCAAGAGGATGACTCTAAACTATTTATGAGAAATTCTCCCCCATGATGCAATCAATCACCTCCACCAAGCCCCTCCTCCAACACTGAGGATTACATTTCAACATGAGATTTCGGTGGGGTGCACATCCAAACTATATCAAAGTCCAAACCCTGGTCTGTTCAGCAGCAGAATGCAGCCAGCAATAAGTATCTTTGGTTCTCATACCTCAGGACAAGACTGATTCTAGTGCCTATGGTTTTAGTCTAGACTCATTCAAGATACAATACTTTAGCACCACTAAAGGCCAGGCTGGAAGCTGGGCATATAATAGTAAACAAAATATAGTTTCTTTCTTCACAAGTCTTATGCTGTAGTGGAAGGTACAGTCAGGAATATAGACTATCACAATAAACGCTAGTAAGAGTGCCAGTTGGGGAAGGTATATATTGTTATGGTGGCATGAGTCAGAGCGTGTTACTAAGACTCAATGGAGTTGGACAGAAAAGAAAAACTTCTCAAAGGAACTGAAGTCTAAGTGAAGACGTGGAGAAGGGGCAGGAGTAGGGATGCTGCTAACATGAGTCAGTTTTGTTGAATAAGCAGGAAGCACCTGCTTCCAGACCAATAAATTAAAAAATGGTCATCAAAACCAGATGCCCCATTATTTGCCCACCAACACAGTACCAGGGCACTTGACTTGGTGAACTAAATACAGATTTCACTCCTCCTTGGCTAAGAAATCCTGTGTAGAGAACAACTTGTGGCCTAGGTTGGACTTACTTAGGTGAAGAGTATTTAGAATAGGGAGTAAAGCAGAGGAGGAAAGGAGGATCTCAAGGCTTAAAGGGTATGGCTCTTGAAAATTGGAACATAGAAGAAAACCAGCCTCATCTGAGTGAAACATTTCAAGAATTGTCTTCTCAGACCATGAAAACACCGGAGTACCCACTGGAGGAGCTTCACAGAGCCACCTGTAGGGAGGCAGAACATTAAGCATTTGCCAAGATGGAAATTGATGCACTAGGCTTGAGCTTCCTGAAGTAACTCTATTTGTCATTTTACCCATTAAGATTGTGAAACATGGTTTCACAATAGCAAATCAAAGCAAACTGGAGATGTTGCACACAATTACAATAGAAATGGAATGACTTAATTAGTAAAAAATTAACTGGCATGATTCCTATAAGTTAAAATGTACATATTTAAGGAGGCTTATTGTAACATTTATACCATTTATTTTACAATATACTAATTCGAATGTAAAAGTGAATGTAAATTACCAGAAATTAACATGCAATGTGAAGAAAAGTCCTTTTATCCTCTGCAACTGTAGCATTTGGCAGATTCAGGAATAAATAATCTTTTGTGGCAAGGGTATGCCTTATCAAACATATGCAGATCAGCACTAATTAATGCTAATTAAGGTTTCCTGTCTATCTAGTTGGAAAAACGTCCAAATGTTATGAAATCCAGTTAGTATGCCTATTACGCTAATTGTTTTATATGGGGTGGTTCTTAATTAAAATATGTAAATTGACCTTAATTGCTATATACTAATGGGGGTTCATGTTATCTTACTAAAAGTGACAAGATGGTGAGGAGGGGTACTTAAATGACTAATTCTGATAAATCCTTAACTAAATGACCTTTACTCAAAATTAATTTTAATTGGAAGTTGGCAAAAGAAACATTTTCCTTCTTTGTTTCTTTTTAGTTTTAAGTAATGGAAGAATGTTATTCTTCTTTGTTAATACAGCTTTAAAAGCAGTTGTGGATTGTTAATTACACTTAACAAGCAAGTTAATTTTACTGTTTACTGTTTATAGGTATCAGGAAGTTATTGATATACTCATTTCAGTCTTGGAGAAAGTGACTTTCTTCTCATTGAATGTGAATATATAGTTATAATCCTATAAGTAATTTGACCTAGCCAGTTTGTTAAAATATGTGTTAATGGTTGATGAGTCAGTAATACTAATATGTATTCCTTCACTTATTTATATTGGAATTACTTTTTTTAGGAAAAAAATAAAGTTTTTACTAACATTAATTCTTATTGGAGTTAAACTGTGATTGGAGATACCTAGACTAAATGGACAGAAATGATAAACTTTTGCATTTTACCTATCATGTTTTTATTATTTAATCACAAACAAGTTAACACGTGTATGCCCTAAATCAGTGTTAATGAATATAAATATTTTTATTTTTGCACTATTCTAAACCTAGAATTACAATAAGTAATTTAGCTAAAGCTAACAAATACTTTATTTTACCTTTTTTATTTGCAAGTAGTTTATGTTCAATTCTAATTTAATGTATATTAAAAATTCCTCTGCAAAAATGGGAGAAGAGACTTCATAAAATATTGTCATATGGAAATGAGCAGATAATAAAGATTATAGCTTTTCTTTGTCAAAAGGAGACTCAATATCTTTACTCTTTCATCAGGACATTGTGACAAATGTTTCCCCCAGAATCATCCGGGGAACCACCTCTGGCCCCATGTATGGCCCTGGACAAAGCTCCTTTCTGAATATTGAGCTCATCAGTGAGAAAACGGCTGCATATTGGTGTCAAAGTGTCACTGAACTAAAGGCTGACTTTCCAGACAACGTAAGTGTGATTTAACATCTAAAACAAGAGAATTGGCATAAGTTGGTGAATGTTTATTTAAACATCCAATTCATAGGCTTATAAATATTAATGTGTATATTTTATTAAAGAATCTGCCAGTTGCTTTGCTGATGCATAGAAAGATAAAAAAGAAAGAAAAGCTCAAGAACTCATAAAAATCCACACAATGTGAAGCTTTGTTATAAATGGGTGCCATGTAAGATGGAAGAAGTATCTACATAAGCAGAAGGAAGAGAAATGAAATACTCATTTTATTGAGTTGGTTTTCACTGTATGTGGCTGGTATTTATGAAGGTGATGACCTTAGGAAGAAATTGCAGACTATAAATCATTTTAAATATGAACCTGAGGCAGAAACAGCATATCTTCCTATGAAGTTTATATTTTTTCAGTGGGAAATAATTCACCAAATAATTTTAGCACTCCTATACTAAATGAGTCAACTATCTTTTATAAAATATTTTTTTTTTCTTTTAAAGAACCATGCATAAATATTGCAGTAAAATCAGGCTTAAATATAATAGATAATATTTTCTCTTCAATAGTCTGGTTAGAGTTATCCTTAATGTCATTCATGTATAGTCCCTCTCCCTCCCACCTGCCTCTCCCACTTCCTATTTTTTTCCTACTCCCTCTCCCTCTTTCTCTCTCTCTTCCTTCCTCCCTTTTCCCCTCCCTCTTCCTCAATTCTCTGTCTCTTTCAAATACACACAACTTATATCTCTTTCTTTCATTCTTTCTTTCAATGAACTGGTAGTGAATGGAGGTTGAGATTTGAGGCAATACGTGTGTTTATGTTATCAGAAATATTTTTCTACCTACATATGTCTTTCAAAGGCAAAAACAACACTCAAGTATACTAATGATATATTTTAAAATCTATTGAAACTGGTGAATGTTTGTCTACAAACTGATAAATTGCAAATTCTTACAAAGGAATATAGAAATCACACGATTGCCTTGCCCATCAAGTTTTTTTTTCTGTTTTACACAGCTCTAATTATTTCAAAATTATCTCTTAATTTGAAATAAAATACATACACATAGAACAAATATAATTTATCTTCCTCAAGACAGTCGTTTAGATGTGAAGGGAACTATCAAGACCCGTCTAAAATCTCTAGTTTCTGCTTATTAGGAATCTTTCCCTTCCTGAACTTGTTGTGAAAATTATCCCTGTTTTCACATTATATAACACTCTATATAAGAGGTATGCTGAGCTATTTGTTTGTTAAAGGACCTACGTCTTTTGGGAAGCGTTTCTCAGAATGATAAGGACAACAAAAAAGGTCAACTATAAAAAGAAATAATATGTTTGTAAACCTGATGTACAGTATTAAATACTCTGCCAGGTACTGAACATGCAACATAATAGTAATGGTAATAATATGTTATGAGCACTCATATAGCACTCTCACTCTGTGCGAGGCACTGTTATAAAAGTTTTATTTATTTTAAACTCATTTGATCTTTTTGAACAACCTTATGAGATAGGTAGTATTATTGTCTCTATTTCACTGATGAGGAAACTGAGGCACACAGAGATTAAGTACCATGTCAATCATTATACACCTAATATATGGTGAAGCTAGAATTTGAACTTGGAATTTGTTTTTACCATCCATGCTTCTGTCTGATAACAATGTTTTCTGGTCCAGTGCATTTGCCTATGTTGTCCTTAAATATTGAGTATTACTTTTCTTTTTTTAACTAGAGATTGGGTACACCCCCAGCAATGCAGTCCAGGCCAGACTACATTGGCACCATCATGGCTCACTGCAGCCTTCAGCTCCTAGGTTCAAGTGATCCTCCCGCCTCAGCCTCCCAGGGCCTACAGGTGCCTGCCACCATGCCTGGCTAATTGTTTAATTTTTTGTAGAGATGAAGTCTCACTATGTTGCCCAGGCTGGTCTTGAACTCCTGAACTCAAGCAGTCCTCCTACCTCAGCCTCCCAAAGTGCTGGGATTACAGGTGTAAGCCACTGTTCCCAGTCTAGTATTACATTTTAATGCCTCATGAGAATGGTATGAAATATAATTTCCCAAATACTGATTCAATAGTATCTAGATAAGCTAATGTGTCTGAAAAACAATATTTTCCTGGAAAATAACTCCTACCAATGGATTTTCTTAACTTCATGTGATACTTTTTCTCTTTTTTGGGTAGGAGTGAGTTGTAATAATGACCACCAAGAAATGACAGTAAGTGGACAGGAAAACTGAGATGAAACCCTTGTTTTGTGATTCTACAGTCAAGTAGAAAGAAGAGATGTAGTTAATATTCTTTTCAATTTCCCTGGTGATTATTTTCTTCTCTTATAATGCTTATTCTTGAGAAAACAATGCATAGTTTTCTTGTTTCTGATTCTTTCCCTATTTAGATTATACACATTTTTCTTTTTCTTTATTCCTAGAACTAATTTCTAGCATTTTTACTCCTCATATTGAAGATAACATTTTAAATACAATTAAAATGGCATTCCCGTTTGAACCCATAGAAATATGTGTGTGTACCTAGATATTGTCATGCTGAGAGCAGACAGTCCCCCGCTGTTTTGGAATTATTCTGATGCGTTTGCCCAATGAGCTGAATGAAAGAAGGTGACCCTTCATTTTCCAAGTTTAATTATCACTCTTGCTGGAGTTTTTTCACATCATTCGACTGCGTGGCTGCCACCTTTAATGACAGGGACTGGACAATTCAACCCACTGTGGCAGCTTCTATGCAAAAGCTAACTTTTCTGATAAAAAGAATTGTGCTGGGTGTGGATATAGGTCAGCTAATATCACTAGCTAATGTCTCTGTTTCCAGAGAGGGTGAGCACCAGTTGACCATAAACCAGAGGAGACAGCTGATGAACTTCTTGAATGTAAAGGCAGAGAGAACTCTGAAATATATTGTGAGGGCTCATCTCTGAATTGTCACAGTTATACCAAAGCCTACATTCACACTAGACTTCTGCTTGGCTTTCAAGGTTTCCTTTTATTTATCTGTGAATTAAATTTGGCACATTGATCATTGTAGTGACAATTTATTACTGACTAAGAGCTTTTTGTTCCTAAGTTGAGATTCTGTAATGCTTGTTATTAAATGTACAGAATAACTAGGGCTTGCAGAAGTCAATTTTAAGTGAATCCTTTTATTCTCAATGCAAAATCTTTATGAATCATATATTTCAGGCTGAAGAAAAATTTTTTTAACAAAAAATACATGCTACACTTTGAATGCACCGAGTTAGGAAGCAAAGACTGAATTTTTTTTTATCATTTGTGGCAGCTAAAGTAGGAAGCAAAAGGTAGGGCTTCAGCAGTGAATCAGCTAGTGAAGATAGAAAAGGAAATGATGGCTTTGTTAGAGAAATTAATAAGGAAGAACAATTGATATGTAAATATACATCTATTACAATACACCTCATTTCTGTAGAAAACACTTTCTCAGTTAATTACTGAGAGATCAGCATTGTACATATTAGGTTCAAAGTGACTCCAAAGAAGTTGATCTACATCAGCACTCCTGAAGGTGCTTTACTAACAAATAGCCTCTAAATATTGAGTACTTAACCTTTTATGTGTACCATGGACTCCTTAGGCACTCTGGTGAAGCTTAGGAGCCTCTTTCCAGAATATTTTTGAAGGCATAAAACAAAATTCATAGGCTTACAAAGGATTCTATCTCCCTTAAAATATACAATATAGCTCTCTCTCTCTCTCTCTCTCTGTCTCTCTCTCTCTCTCTCTCTCTCTCTATATATATATATTTTTTTTTAAGGCACTAAGTAACAATCTAGTGGTGGGTCTAATAACTATTAAAATTTTGATGTCCTGGTGAGTATAAGTACTTGAGATTTCTGCAGCAACTCTACTGTGATTTTCTGTGACACTTCTTTTGGTGCAAAGTGACAGATATCAATAGTGCCACTATGGTTTATTGCATTTATTATCTTAAAAACATCAGACAATTGGCTGGGTGTGGTGGCTCACACCTGTAATCCCAGCACTTTGGGAGGCCAAGGCAGGCAGATCACTTGAGGTCAGGAGTTTGTGACCAGCCTAACCAACATGGTGAAACCCCGTCTCTACTGAAAATACAAAAAATTAGTCGGGCTGGTGGCAGGTGCCTGTAATCCCAGCTACTCAGGAGCCTGAGGCAGGAGAACTGCTTGAACCCGGGAGGTGGAGGTTACAGTGAGCCAAGATTACACCACTGCACTCCAGCCTGGGCCACAGGAGTGAAACTCACTCTCCAAAAGAAAAAAAAAATCAGGCAATTTATACATTTAGAAAGGAGAGCTTTATGTCTTAGAAAGTATTACTACCTATCGGCTAGGAAGCAGGCCGCTGGCCAAAGCCAGAGACAGAAACTTCAAGAGAAGATAGGTGAGACAGGAATTTATGGTGAAGGGGTTGGCTAAGTATACACACTAGGTTATAAGAGAAGCTATGAATATTCATGAAGGGGCCTTAACATCTAAGTTATATATTAAGTTATATGAAAAGCTATGAATATTCATGAAGGGACATTAACATCTAAGTTACATATTAGGTTATAGGAGAAGCTATGAATATTCATGAAGGGGTCTTAATGCATGTGTACTGAACAAACATCCGTGTTATATACATGTAATGTTCACTGTGCAGTGGAGATTTAACATTTGAATGTATTACAGTTGGTCTCTATTCATCAAAAGGTGAAGCAGAGACATGAAGGGCCTCAGTGCACAGCCTCTATAAACTGGCCAGAGCCAGTCCATGGTTGGTAGTCCCTTATCAGGAGAAAGTTGCTAAAATCCATTTCTTGTCCAATGAAACCTGTAGTTATGACTTGTGGAACAGGGGAAGTCTGTCGGTGTCTGGTGATCAGTGAGCTGTAATTGTTTTTATATTGGTTATCTTGAGGCCAGCGCTTGTTTAACTGCCAGAGAAAAGGAAAAAAAAATCCTTGTGGCACTGAGAATAGTTTATTCTTTAAGTGCAAAGGT